CTCCCCAGTAATCTCAGCCCTGATTTCAACAACAACAACAACAACAACAACAACAACAACAACATAATTACCTGGACATCCCACTCCACTACATACACCATCCCACCCCAACCTAAGATCCGGCCCAAACCCCCCAACCAACATTGGTGTTTAGTTGGTGGTTGGCTCGAGCTGGAGGGTACCTTAAGTAATGTAGACTGCATTTGCGGAGTACCTCCTTTTCTCTCTGTGTGTGTATGTGCTGTGTGTGCTGTGCTCGGCTCTGTATGTGCATGTGCGGTAAAGATGTTTCCAGTTGGCTGGCTGGTTTGTTCGGTCCGCTTGGGTTTCTTCCCGTTGTGAACTGGGTCTGGGTGTGGACTGGGCGAGTACCGGTTGTTGTGGATGGGGTGGTGTGGGATGATGGTTATTGTATTCATTTGTGATGATAAGACTTTTGGGGGGGGAGGGGAGGGGGCATTGTTTTGTTTTGTGGGGGGTGGTGTTCTGTACTTTGGAAGGATTTGTTCGCGGCGGGATATATTTGCAGGTGATTAGTGGATGTATGGATGTTTGTACTGCACACACCTGCACAGGATGATAATTCTTACATACTGAGTAGAGTGGGACGTAAAGTAATTTTAACTTGAAGTCTTGATTCGCCTTCCCTACTACCGAATCCAAGTGATGCTCAATCAACGGTAGTATAGTATATCTACACCTACCCACACTCATCATCAAAATCAACTCAAAACACTCGGATCAATCCTCCCCACCCCGAGCACCATCCAATACGCCAACTCCCTCTTGACCATCTCGCCCGCGGCGCTGACGCCGGGCCGATCGATCTGGTTCTCCGAATCCCACTCCATGCGCACGAACACCGGGATCTCGAGGACATCCTCGTCTGGTTGGAGCTGTTGCTGTTGCTGTTGCTGCTGTTGCTGCATCTCCGCCGCCTGGCCGGTCCAATCTGGTGCCTGTCCGCCAAAACTGCTGGTGTCGCTGTCGCTCTCGCTGTCATTGCCTGTAGTTTTGCTATGTGCTGTGCGCGGGGCCTGATTCCTGGATTGCAGGGTCACACCGCTACTGCCGGGCGGCAAGGTCCCCGGTACCACCTCTAGCACCACGGTCGTCCAGTTGCGGCCCTTGTCCCACACTTTGCCGGCCTCGGCGACCTTCTCGAACATCCCGAGGTGACCCCCGGGTGCGGCCGTGGTGGCTGTGGCGGGTGCGGCACCGGAGCGGGAGGAGCGTTGGTCGGCTGTTGCATTGCTGCCGGTACCACCACCTGCTACTGCTGCACCAGCTGCAGTGGTATTGCCCTGCAGGGCCTCGTCCCACACGTCGCTATTGGCGCCGATGTCGAACTGCGGACAGAGAATGGTGACCTTGGAGGCCACGCGGCCCGGGGTCACGGACGGGGTGGCCAGGGTGATGCGGACGGGGTCGAACATGTGATTCTTGAGGGTGAGCAGCAGCTGGGTGGGTCGCAGGGGCGGAAGGGCGTCGAGGTTCATGCCGGGAGCGCTGCCGCTGGTCACACCCGCGGCGGGTGGCGGGACCAACGGCCGGAGGGTCGGTAACGGGATGTAGCTGAGGGCGATCAGACGGATGCGGAACCGGGTGGACTGCGGCTTCTGCTCGGGCTTGACGAGGATATGCTTGCACGACTTGCAGCGTTTGGCGCGCTTGGTGCGCAGCAGCGTGGCCAGCGGCAGGAGCTCCTCCACGAACCGCGCGTCCGGCGACTGGAAGACGCGCTGCTCAAGCGAGGCCAGTCCGTCCCAGCCGCACTCGTCCGCCGCCATGCGCTGGATGAGGACGGCTTCCGCGTCGGCCGCCGGCGTCTTGAACCCCTCGCTCGCGGTCAGCGCCTCGCGCATGACCGGCGGTTTCGTCTTGGGCTTCTTGCTGGCGCCGCCGTAGAGGCTGCTGAGGCGGGACGAGGAGGTGTACAGCGACATGATGCGGTTCAGGGCCCCGGGGGAGGAGAAGCCCGCTCCAAAATCCACGCCGAGCGGGTCGCTGGGCGAGGACGAGGTGGCCGAGATTTGGGTTTTGTAGAAGCTCTTGAGTGCGTGGAAGCGGGCGTCCGGGCTGAGGGGGCCGTTCGACTGGTCGGGCGAATCGTCGGGGCGTGCTTCGCCGGGCGCCGGGGGGAATTGCTCGTCGATGGAGGAGAAGGTGGATAGGGGCGACTTGAGGTCTGCGAATGTGCGCGACATCTGCCGCGAGCGGGAGGGGTTCGTGTCGGTCGCCGTCAGCTTGGCCAGCTGGGTGCGGATGTTGGTCGGTTTGTCGAACTTGATGCCGATGTCGAGCGTCGACCACATGCAGTAGCCGCACGACAACACCCAGGGGCCTTGTTGACTGGTGCCGCCGCGGACGACGTTCTCGAGGGTATTGACCGCCAGCGGTGCGGTGCAGGCCGGGCAATTGAAGCAATTGCGTGCACACCTTGCAGTCGTCAGTTTCCGGATCCGAAGAGGAGGTGGTCAGACATACCGATTCCCCTCACTCTTCACCATACTGCTCGGCGTCTCGAACAGGCAGTTCGGACAGTACCAGCACACGATCTCCTCGGTGATGCATCGCGGACATTTGATCTGGTGGCAGTCCTCGCAGTAGAGGAGGTGCTCCGGGGGATAGAGGGAGAAGTTGGAGCGAGGGGCGCGCGGATCGAAGGTCTGTTCGTCCTCGCTGTCGTCGAAGCGCGGCGGCGGTTTGGGCTGGTCGGGGTGATGGCTGCTGGCCTTCTGCGGGGATTCTCGCGAGCGGCGTTTCTTGGACGGATCCGGGACGGGGGTGTTGGCGCAGGGACAGGAGATGTATGCGTAAGGGAAAGGACGCGACATGGTGGGAGTCTAGGAAGTGGTCTATAGTAATGCTTGCATGCTATGTCATGGTCAGTTGGGAAGATGCGACAAGCGACAAGCGACGAGCGACAAGCGACAATTAGGGGAAGCATACTCGTACCTTGACGTGGAGATATTGCACGAACGAGTCAGAACGCTAGACTCAATCAGACGCTGCTATTCATAACCTGCTCATGATGTGGCTAAGATGCAGACAACACACAGGGACAAAGTAGAAGGAAATAAAATGAGGGGGAAACGCCCGAGGCAGCGAAACGACCGAGAAAGAGGAAAGGCAAAATGCGGAGGAGGGCCGATCTTCCGCCCCGACGTCACGTTCGTTCCGCCTCCGCCGTGGACTTTTTGCCCGCCTGGACAATCCAATCCGTCTTCCAACAACCTCAGCCATCGCCCAATTCCTCGAAAAGAGAGCTGGGGCATCATGTCTCTACACCAATTGATCCGACCAGTGGTGCGATCGCGCATCTCCACCACCACCACCACCACCACAATCCCTGCAACAGCATCATCATCATGCCGCCTCCCCTCGCGGCGCAACTACGCCATGCAGACGCCCGGCAACCCAGTGATGGAGATCTTCAACCGACGAGCCAAGCACCTGCAGAAGGAGCGGGCGGCGCAGAACGTCGACGAGAGCCGAAAGACCGATTACCTCAAGGATGAAGTGGCGATGCGATTATGTGAACGATTGCTGGTGAGGCTGCCACAAAACCCCCCCCCCCCCCCATCCACCCAACCCAACCCACTCTATGCCTAACTCGGCTCATGCAAAAAAACGAATGGAAATAGGACATCAAACGCACCTTCCCACAAGTCCTAGACCTCGGGGCAAACAGCTGCAACATCGCGCGGGCGCTGACGACCCCACTCCCGGACGAGACCTCGGCCACCGGCACGGCCGAACCGCTGGCCGACCGCATCTCGCACCTGACCTGCATCGACACGAGCGCGGCGCTCCTGAACCGCGACCTGGCGCTCCCCTTTAACTCCTCCTCCTCCCTCCCGATCACGCGCCAAGTGGTGCCGGACCTGGAAACGCTGCCGTACGCGGCGAACAGCTTCGACGCGGTCCTCTCCTCGCTCAGCATCCACTGGATCAACGACCTGCCCTCGCTCCTGGCGCAGGTCAACAAGATCCTCAAGCCCGACGCGCCCTTCATCGCGGCCATGTTCGGCGGCGACACGCTCTTCGAGCTGCGCACGTCGCTGCAGCTCGCGGACCTGGAGCGGCGGGGCGGGGTGAGCCCGCATGTGTCGCCGCTGGCGGACGTGCGGGACGTCGGCGGGTTGCTGAACAAGGCCGGATTCAAGATGCTGACGGTCGACGTGGAGGATATCGTGGTGGAGTTTCCGGATACGTTTGCGCTGATGCGGGATCTGCAGGCGATGGGGGAGGGGAATGCGATCCTGCATCGGGAGATGGCGCCGCTGTCGCGCGAGGTGCTGTTGGCCAATGAGGCGATCTATCGGGCGTTGCATATGGAGGACGGGGCGAGGGGGGTGCCGGCGACGTTTCGGTTGATCTACATGATTGGGTGGAAGGAGGGGGAGGGCCAGGCGAAGCCGTTGGAGAGGGGGAGTGGGCAGTTGAATTTGAAGGATATTCTTGGCGGTGGGGATTTTGAGCAGAAGTGATAGTTCTTGCCTGGGAGTGTGTTGTATGATATAGTCCCAAAAAAAAGAGGCGCACAATATATACGGTCAACTTGGCACTGCCGATGAGAATATGAGGATGAGGTATAGGTATAGCCTCATCGATCTCCCATTCTTACCACAAAGTATCAACAAAAAAAAAAAAAAAACTAAACCGTCCTCCGATCCGTCATCACCCGCACAATCGACCCCGTCCCCACCAACTCCACCAACTTCTCATGCCAGCTCAACAGCACACTCATCTGCTGTCCGCCGCCCCCCTCGCCCAGATTGCGGCCCTGGATCTGCGAGAACCCCGTACTCTGCGGGGAGACGGATTTGCGAGGGGTTTGCGCGGAGACGGGGGAGGCCATGCCTTTGTAGCTGGAGGCCGAGAAAAACGTAGTCAGCTTTCCAACCCTTTCCTCTTGTTTGTGGATTCCAGATAATACACGTACAGATACTTCATCAAGCAGTCGGCGCGCTCGGCCCCGCCGTCCTCGCCGGTGCACACCCCCTCCAGCACGCGGCTCATCTCCGCCTGCCGGATGCCTTGCAGCACCTCGGTCACGGCCGCCAGGTGCACCTCCTTGGCGCGCTCGTCGCCGCCTAGGGGCGCCGTGTCCAGCACGTGCCGCAGCGCCGCCGCCGGGTCCCCGCCGCGCAGCAGCTGGCGCACCTCGCCGGCCACGGCGGCGGCGGCGCTCGAGGTCGTCGGCGCCGGCAGCGTCGCCGGCAGCAGCGTGTCCATCGGGAAGTTGATCGAGGCGTCGGGGTCCAGGACGTCGATGTTGATTGTGCGGTAGTTGAGTTGGGACATTTTGGTTGGTTTGCGGCTTGGGCTTCGATTTCGGGGGTTGGTTGGGAGGGGTTGGTTTGGTTTGGTTTGGGTGGGGTTCGAGGGGTGGTTTGGAATTGGATCGGGTTGTTGATGATGATGGTTTGGCTGAGGATCGTGGGATTGTCTGTGGGTTTGTTGGTTAGTCTTGGTAGTTGAGGGGTAATGGATGGTCGTTGGTGGTGGGAGACTGGCATCCCGAGTCGTCATTGCCCTCCAGCTGATGGGGTTCCGCGGGGAAAGGGAATTGGACACCATGGTTGGGTCGTGGGATTGGTTGGGACAAACCTCAAACTAGAGTGGGGTAGCTGGCAAGCGCTGGCTGATCGTCAATGGGAAGCTGTAAAAGCCACTGCCACAAATAACAAGACAATAAACAGTGAGAGTGAGAGTGGGAGTGAGCTGGAAATGAGCGGGTACGGAGAGTAGCAGGAGGGAGAGAGAAAGGGAGGCGGGCGGAAGTGGCGGTGCGGAGACCCCCGTCGGCCTGACCGCCTGAGGCAGCCGTTTAGTTGGAGAACTATACAGAGTACACACTCCAGAGGTTCTATTGATGAGCTGGGTTCAAGGTATCAGTTTCCATTGCTGAATTTGGTCTAGGTATCATAATTTTCTATTGTACAGTAGATGTTGTAGTTGTAGTAGTAGTAGTAGTAGTAGTAGCAACGCTAGAACGCTCAAGAAAGCCTCCTTCCCAAAGTACAAGTACAAACACAAGCAAGCCACCCCATAAAAAAACATAGCAAGGTGGAAGTAGAGGCACAGTCGAGTGGCTGCACTAGTCATTATTCCATGAGATTCATCAAGAAGTCGTGATGGTGATTGGAGGCACCGGGATCGGGGTAGATGGTGCCTCGGGAGTTGACTCTCGTTTGAGATCCTGCAACGACGTCGTGCCCGCCTCTTCGTCCGGCAGGGCCTCGGCCTCGGTCTCAGCAGTAGGATCCGCGTCCCGGCGCCGGGAGAAAACACGCTTCGTCGTCCGCGTGAGGGGCCGCACGGCGGATCTGACACCCGCGGCCAGCCATCCCATCGCCCGAGCCATGGGCTTCGTGACAAAGGTAATGCAGCGCACGGCGAAGTTCAGCGCAATCTCGCAGGGTCTGTCGGGGATCAGGCGCAGCACCACCGCCCAAGGCAGACAGCCCAGAGCGCAGGCGATGCAGATCGCCCACTGCACCCCATTAAGCCGGGTGACACCGAAGGCCTCGCCGCCCACAAACACGATCATGATCTGCCCGCCGACCATGATGCAGTTGATCCCGAGGAACCAGTAGTTGCGGAACATGCCCTCGAAGATGTTGAGCTTGTTGTCGAGCCGTCGGTTGTTGAACTCGTTGAAGATCTGCATCCAGACGAACGTGTTGAACACGATCGTATCCAGCACCAGTTGAGGGTTCTTGCTGCCCAGCTGGGAGCCAATGATGTGCCTCCCGCCGAAGTACAGCATGAAGGTGATGGCGAGTTGATAGAGGGCCTGGCCCAGAATCATCTTCCACATGATCACGGTGAACAGAGACGCACTCTTCGGCACCGGCTTCCGATCGAGGATCTTCTCCGTCGGCGCATCGGTCGCCAAGGCGAGCGCGGCGAACGTGTCCATGATCAGGTTCACCCAGAGGAGCTGCACCGCATTCAGAACACTCTGGTTATCGCTGCTGGACAGCGAGGACACAAAAGTCAGAATGACGGCAGTGATGTTGACGGTGATCTGGAACTGGAGGAACTTGGCCACCGCGTCGTTGACGGCACGACCCCAGGCGATCGCAGTGACAATCGATTTGAAGTTGTCGTCGAGCAGAACGATGGAACTAGCCTCCTTGGCGACTTCCGTGCCTGCAATGCCCATGGAAAACCCAACATCAGCTGTCCGCAGCGCCGGCCCGTCGTTTGTGCCGTCTCCAGTCACAGCGACGGTTTCGCCGAGTTTCTTGAGCCGGGCGACCAGGATCCGTTTATCCTCGGGCGACGAGCGTGCCAGCACCTGAAGGCGCGGGATCACTCGATCCATCTCCTCGTCGGACAGTTGCCGGAACTTGGGGCCTTCCATGACGATCCCCTCTTCAGTCTTGATGCCACACGAGGAAGCGATGGCGCTGGCAGTGACAAGATTGTCGCCAGTGACCATCTTGACTTGCACGCCGGCCGCATGACACTTGCGAATGGCAGCTGGAACCTCAGGCCGAAGGGGGTCCTGAATGCCAACCACCCCGATCCAGGTCATGTCCTGGAAGACATCATCAAACACTGCAGACTCGGGCTCGTCCTCCATGCGTCGGACGCCGTGGGGCGGCCAGCTTGGGAAATCGCGATACACCATGCCAATAGTCCGTAGCGACTGGCTTGCATACGACTCAATCAGTGCCAGAGTCTCCTGCTTGTCGTGCTCGTGCAGCGAGTCGATGCCGAGCCCGTCTTTGCTGGAATCCTCCTCAGTGATGTGGGTAGCGCACGCACCCGCCATGATTTCGGCGGCGCCTTTGACAAGGAGGCGATAGCCGACCGCGGGCTCGCGATAGACCACAGCCATGCACTTGCGCGCCGAATCGAAGGGGAAGAGCTGCACAATCTCCGCCGAAGCGCGTTCGAGCGTCACGTCCATGCCAAGATGGTCTTTAGCCAGTTGTAGCAATGCTACTTCGGTCTTGCTGCCGATGAACTGCTTCTGTCCGTCCTTCTCCTCCTCAAAGGCGGTGGAGTTCAGCGCAACGCTTTTAGTGACCAGGTCACGCAGCCTGCTGGAGCTCTGCTTGAAAAGCTCGGCGGCCGTATAGCCTGGAGCGCTATCGTCCACATTCTGGGTGAAACTCCTAGTGGCGAGCGTCCCGGCGACCACGGTCATCTTGTTCTGCGTGAGTGTTCCTGTCTTGTCCGAGCAGATGACGGTCGCGTTGCCCATGGTTTCACAGGCCCGGAGAACGCGGACTAGATTGTTCTCCTTGACCATGCGGGTGGTAGCGAAGGCGAGAGCGAGGGTTACCGCAAGTGGAAGACCCTCTGAAATACCGAATCAGTACGAGTTTCCGGGGTTTTGGACCGGGGTACTTACCAGGAATAGCAACGACAATAACCGTTACAGCCACAATAAGAATGTCGACAAACTCTTTGCCCTTGACGGCGGGTGAGCCGCTGTTGTGCGGGAGGTCCGCGACGAAGCGGAAGAACAAAGCGAAGAATAGAATGATCGCAGCGCTGACGCCATTAGCCAACGAAAAAATTTCTAAGAAGGGGATCTTCGCTCTTACCCTGAGCCCAACCAACCGATCCAGTTAGCAAGCTTGCCCAGTTTGACCTGCAGCGGAGTTTGGTCGTCCGAGTCTTGCAAGGACAGCAGGATCCTGCCATAGGTCGAGTAGGGCCCGACACTGGTCACAAGATACGTGCCCACTCCTTCGAGCACCTTGCTGCCGGAGATCAGGAAGGGATCGAGTTTCTTCGTCGCCGTCCCGGCGGCGAGGTGTCGGCCGACTTCATACCCATCGGTTTTCTTCATCTGGTCCGATTCGCCGGTCGCCGAAGACTCGTCACATTTAACCCCGTGGCCCGAGATCAGCACCCCGTCCGCCGGGATGGAGTCGCCCGGCTCGAGGTGCAGGACATCTCCCACCGTGATGTCAAAGATGGAGACCATGGAGACCTTGCCCGAGCGGACGGCCTTGACCTCTCGGTCGTTGTTCTGCCGCAGTCAGTCGATGTTCATTTCAGAAAAACGAGGGCGGGCACTTACTCGTTTGTTAAGTTTGGCAAACTGCCTCTCCTTCTGCCAGTCATTAGCGGCCGTGACAATCGTGACGATCAAGATCGCCACACAGATCGCCACGCCTTCGATCCAGTCCACGCCGCTCCCTTCGCTGGTCGTCTCGTAGATCCCGAGCGACAACGAGACGACGGCGGCGATGGTCAACAGGATGATGATCTTGTCGTTGTACGCACGCCAGAACAAGGTCAGAAAGCCCGTCGACTTGCGAGCGGGCAGTCGATTCTGGCTGAAGACGCGAATGCGGTCCTGGAACTGTGCATCCGAGCCCGAAGATGCCGTATGGCGAGCCGGTTCTGACGGCGGCTGCACTACTTGCTGCTCTTTACCCCGCTGCTGCTGGTGGTGATGTTGCTCGTACTTCGTCGCGCCATACCCCGAAGAAGTCGCCGCTGCTTCTTCAAAACTCACCGACCCGTCCAGCTCGGTCTCATCCACCGACAACCCCGAGGCCAGATCCGTGCGCAAGCCGCGTTCCAGCCCCGCGAGCCCGCCCAGGGCCTGGAACGCCGCCAGCGACTTGGGGTTCTGCATCTTGTTGAGCTGGCCCGGCGAGAAGGCGAACTTGTTGTCTTGGACGACAAAGTCCCCCTCCGTGCGCGGATCCGGATTGAGCGCCTCGGAAAGCGAGACATCATCGTAGGCTGCCGCTGTTGTCGCCTTGGTTGGCACGGCGGTCAGCTCCGAGTTGGCTCGGGATCTCACGGCCGTGTCGGCGCTGGAGATGGTCGAGTCTGCGCGGGACCGCAGTGTCTCGCCGTCCAGGGAACGCGACGTTCGGGGAGTGTTGCTGTGCTGCTGCTGCTGCTGCACCATGAGTCTGTCAGGTGATAGTGCTGCGCCGGCGTGGGCCATCTCGAATGGCGTAGATGGACTCAGGTGTTGTCCTGAGTCCGAGGAATGTGGACGTTGCTGCTGCTACCATCTCTATCAACATATACTCCCGATGATGATGACGGTGAGGGGGGGAAAGCGGCAAAGCTTGCCGCCGTTGGCAACATACCTCTCTATCTGAAACCCCGAATGGGTTGAGAAACTCGGCCTGACGATGTTCTTCGTCTGAAGGCTGCATTAAAGTGATCGACGCAGACTCTGATTTGACAGGGAAGGCAGTGAAGCATGCATCAAAAGAGAATCAAGGTAATGGGTAAATTCGGAAGAAATTCAGGTGTCTTGCGGGCTAATTGCCTCAAACTGGTTGTAGGGTCTGGTTTGGTTTCCTTTG